CTCTTCACAGCCTCCCTTACAGAACTTACTGGGTCTTCCCAATTCTCTTCAAGATAACGCCTCGGCACGGACCGCGTAGAAACACCTCGTTTCGAACAGTGCTTCCATTGTTGCGCGACGATTCGTTGCTGCGGGAACGTGTTTACCGAGCTGTTGCCTAGGAACGTCTCCGGTATATTCGCCTATCTCGCCGTCGTTCCACAGTAACGGCTCTACACGCTACAGTATGGTCATGAGTGCCGTGGGACTAGGAAACCAGTAATGACTGTGCTGACGATGGCCATCAGCACTCTACCCTACCCGACGAACCGATTAGTGAATAATGATTTAGAAGACATTTGGGAAGGAAGTGGTCGTGGTGCACTATTTGGGACTCAACGCAAAACCCCTGAGTCAGGATGGCCGTTGTTCCGGCCGAGATTCGAACCGATTACCTCCCAAATACGAGCGTTACCCCTTTTGAGCCACAGCCTTCCTTAGAAGATTCTGCCGGTTTCCGCGTCTTCGGATTTTTCTTTCACAGAGCAAGTTCGTCAGCCTTGCATCCAACCTGTTGCTAAGCGGTGACTGTGTAAACAACGGCCGTTTCTGGGCAACGGTTCTGTAAACGAATACGCACGCGACAATAGAGTTACTGTTGAAAACTGGATGTTTTCTATGTGGTCAGTGCCGAGATGTTATTAATAAGCAAAAAAATCAGCTCAGAGATAACCCATGTGGAGGGTTGGTTCAATACCTCCACCGCGACCCTGCGAATCATAGGAGGCGACGAAAATGGAAGTCCCAAATCTGAGACATTAGCAACGGCCAGCAGCATATACAAAGACAGACCCGTCCTCTCGTCAGAGAGGGCGTCCCACAGAAACAGGGCGGTAACTGTCAGACACTAATAAATATCTGGTCATGAGTCCCAGATGGGGCTCGATACCAAGACTTACTGGCTGACTGAGCGGCCTCCGTAGTCTAGAGGTAACGTTCCCACCTCATGACTCGTAGTACGCGGGTTCAAAAACCCGGCGGAGGTCGTGGAATTTTTAAGGGCGGAAAAATTCAGGGAACAAGTCCTCCGGGAGGGACTTTAAGCCGTGGGTCCCGTGTCGTAGATTTACGGCACGTAAAAGAACCTCATGTCTCTAGGAGACCTCTGAGCAAAATTAGGCAACATTTCCTGCCCAAGTAGTTTCCAATTCCTCCGGTAGATGGGGGAAGTATTAGGTACCACTGCCAGAGGAGGGGGACGTCTCTGACAGAAAGGGACTAACTATTAGATACCACTGCCAGAGGAGGTTGGAACCTTGCTGGCAGAAAGGGGCTGATAGTAAGCATCAGTACCGGTAGGGTATGGTATGGAGACAGTAGAAATTAAGGGGGACGCACAACGGACCACTAACCGGTCTAAGTGCATGGGGAAACCCACCCCCTCAATACGGAATACGGAAATACTGGCTGACTGACCGACCGACAGTCGTAGTGTGACTTTGACTTTGACTTCAGTTCAAATAGAGTTCTGCACGGGAAGCCGTTAAGAAAGGACCTAAGCGCGTTCAGCTGCAGAATCTCCACTGTTAGAAACCGTTACCAGGGAACGGCTGGTGAAGACACAGCAGGCTAGAAAAGGCTTATCGGTTGCTGTGGTGAGTTGTGGAAATTAGCGTTGGCGCTGTAATTGCTTCTTGTTCCGAGTCGTGTGTGTGAGTGGTCAATAAATCCATTCACCAATCCAAACACCGTCTATGGTCACACGCATACACGTGACAGTATCAATGTCCCCAAGTGATCACACGTTTCTGTATATAAGTACGTGTATTTCAGAGGTAACGGCCGTCAAATAGTCGCGTGGAGTTGCGCAGACTAACCCGTGCTAAAAGACCGAAGCGCATCTAACAATGGTGAGCCCATTAATGTGCGCTGCGACTTGCTAAAATACTTAGCAACGCAACTCAGACCATTTCTATTTGTCTGGGAATTTGCAGCAAATTACGCCCACGACACGGGCAGGCTGTGACAGCTAGAACAAATATTGTGTTTCTAACGCCGTGTAGTCCGACAATCAAAGTTTCGGAGGAACATATGCTTTCTATCTTCAGGGGGGAAGAATAAGCCAAGTAAACTAGTGGTTTCCCGCTTGACTAACACTTCTACCTTGAAGAAAGAGGCGACAAGCTGCCCGGAAACTGTTGGATTTCTGCCCATCTGCGCGGCGCTGCGACCCAGAAAACAGTCACGTCCGTGAGAACATCAGCTCCAGCTTTCCACACGTTTCCCACGGCGTCACAAAGACAGCTTCTTGTTCACGGTGGATGCACTTTCGGTGTAGGACGTTTCGGCTCCTCGTCTGACGTGGAAAATTGTCCCTGTGCTTAACTAATCGAGCACTGCGCCATGAAGTTGTACGGGGCAGTGGATTGGATCTATAGATCCACGTATTGTTGACCTCGGCACTACTTCGAGGTAAGTAGTCAGCTTCACGCCCCGGTCCTGGATAAAAAGCCCCCGTTAAGAGGCTGGCTGGACCCCAGAACCAGTGTGGATGACGTGGAGAAGAGAAAATACTCGCCTCTGCCAGGACTCGAACTCCGACCCCTCGACTGTCCAGCCCCGTAGCCAGTCGCTGTAACGACTGCGCTATCCAGGCTCCTCGTCTTGCGTGTAGAAACGCAAGAAAGTGAAATGTAAAGCTCATGGAGGTCCATAGGGTTGTGAGACATCGAGGTTCCCACATTTTCTAGAGAGTCGGTTCACAGATGGCAGTGAACTTGTCTGCCTTACGCACCGGCTGCCCTTTACCCCCAGGAAGATTCCTGGTACTCATTTCTGTTAGAGGCTGAGTTGACCCCAGCGATATAGTGCGGCTGGAAGGATTAGGTCAACTGAAAAATCTAATGTGGTTTCATCCATTTGCATGGGTGTGAAACTTGATCTCTCACATTAAGGGAGGAACATAGACTGAGGGTGTTTGAGAACAGGGTGCTGAGGAAAATATTTCGACCGAAGAGAGATGAAGTGGCAGGAGGTTGGAGAAAACTGCATGATGAGGTGATCTGTAATTTGCACATGACTAGGATAATGAAATGAAGAAGTTGTGATGCACAGAGCATGCAGTACGCGGAAGAGAGAGCCCCCATAAGGCGAACAAGAAAGAAGCTGAAGGATTAACCTGCTTCACGCTGGTTTCTCATTTTGATTATTTTTCAATCCTGAAAATGGAGGCGACATGTTCCTTCGAAACGTCGTTTGATTTTCAGCGGACAAGACAGTGCTATATCCCAGACGACGGAACTCTCCTTGAATGTGGCCTATGAACAATAAAATATGATTTTTGAACGTTTCAGTGGCGTCCTGCACACTGCAGGGAAATGAAGGGGCAGGGCCCGTCCGCAGGATTCGGTTGCGCTGATAAGTTCGTGGTTCTGTCGGTTCGTCACGCCTCCAACGTCACTTCGGATCGATTTATGGGCTCCTACATATCAGGATTCGTGTCTTATCAGTGCAAGCTAAAGTTGTCCCTGTGCCTAACTGTGCTGTGAAGGCAAGTATAACTCCACCATTCTCTGCCTTGGCGCTAGACAGAGGTGCGAGAGGTCAGCTTCACGCTCCTGCCGCTTTAATCCCGTCGGAATCCCCCCCCCCCGGTACACATTTGATAGGAGGCTGGGTGGGCCCCAGAACCTGTCAGTACGCTAAGGACACTAATTCCCTTACCGGGAATCGAACCCGAGCCGTCCAGCTCTTAGCTGTACCGACTCCATGTTCTGTCAGTTCCTTGCATAGAAAAGAGATACGTCGTTAACTTTCTAACATTATCCACAGTGTGTTGCGAAAGTCGTACAACAGATTGCAAACTTCTGGGCACAAAGATAAAAAAAAAGGCAGTGGATGAAACACAAATTAATTTTGGCGTTATTTTTATGGTGGAATTATTTGCGACTCCTTCGTTTTAGGCCACTCTTGCCTGAAGTTATGTCTGTACAGGTGAGTGACGTGCGCAATCTGTGGCAGTTGAGTGGCTTGAAATGCGTGTCTTAATGTCGAGTGGAACTGAAACACAGCCACGAAGGTAGAGACGTTGAGAATTTGACACTAGATGATTTCAACAAAACATCCAGCATTTTCATAGACTTACTGAGGAAAACCACGTTAAATTTCACTCGGGATACAGCGGTAATTCTGCCGAGGTCGTAACGCTTCTAAATAGAGCCGGTATATTTACCGCTACACTAACCTGCTTGAGAACCAAGCGTCCTCCACATGTACCTCATGTGATTTACTCCTCAAATGTGGAACTTTGTTCAGGGACCGTCTCTTACTGGTTCTACTGAGGCTGAAACCAATTCCTCTTCCCCTGCCACTTCTTCCTGGCATTAAAGACAGGCCTGAGCCTGGGTCAGTAGAATGATCAGGCCACGGGCTAGGCAACCGAGCAATCGGAGTCTATTCTCGTCAGCAACGAGAGATATTTATATTCTCGGTAGTCCCCAGGCACTCTCTGAGTCCCCGCTGTCACGCACCCAACGCTTATTGGCAGCTCCTTCCCTGGGGTCAAGCGTCTGGGACATAAAGCTGATCGCCACTTAGGGAATAAGTGGCGCTTTAAAGCCGTTCCTCCATATATCTTTTTGATGTGGTGTTTAATGTTTGGTTAGAAGCTGTACACCCATTTCAGGTGGCACTGAAGCCGGAACAAAACGGAAAGAAGAAGAGGAAGTGTGTGTTGGGGAGGGGGTAGCGAGAGAGAGCTAAATTTGAGTAGGCAGAAAAACACATTTTGTTTTCCTCCGGTTTTGAAGGTTCGCAGGCAGTGCCCGCTCGTGTTTCTGCTAAGGGTGTGTTTGAGATAGGGTAAAACTCTAGGAAGTGAAGAAGATGAAATTTTAAGATACGAATTTGATGCCTGAAGCTCACATAAAAAATATTTTTAAAAATTCAGGCTCCATAGCAACAATGTAACGGTTAACGCCGTGTTTATCACACGAAACACAGAACAAGCTAGTCAGCCTTACCTGCCATCACTGGGCCCGAGGCCGTCCGTTTCTGCTGCTCGCTCGTCGCGTCTGCACCGCCGCTCGCTGACGTATTGTTACGTCACAGTGAACCTACCGCAACCCGAGTCACTTGCCTTCTGCTCAAACACTCAACAGGTAGCGGCCAGGTCGTTCTGCTTGCCGGGAAGGGGAAGGCTGTTCCGATAAATGCCCCTCAAAGAGGGAAATTTCTCCGTCACCGGGCCATTCTGCTTACTTGGTATGAAGGGTCTTCCCCAAAGGCATGTTGAACACCTCACTTCGTCTAACATATGAAATAAGGTTTTACTGCGAAATATTGCTGTGAAAGCAACAGTGACATCACTCGATTAGGAAACATGAAAGCCAGTTGCCTGGGATAACTCAGTGGGTGTAGCGACTGGCTACGGGCTGGACGACCGAGAGATCGGAGTGTCAGTCCCGGTAGGGTCAAGAGTTTTTCTTCTCCACAGCGTCCAGACCGGCTCTGGGGCCCACCCACCCTCCCATCCAATGGGTACCGGGGGCTATTTCGCCGGGGGTAAAGCGACCAAGGCGTGAAGCTGACTACTCCCCTCCAACTAGTGCCGAGGTCAAGAAAATGTGGATCTATACATCCACTCTCCCATACACCTTCATGGCACAACACTTAATTGGTTAAGCACAGGGAGAACTTTACCTGAAAGCCACTTACCCACAATCGACTAACGAGGCCACGTAACGAATTGGAGATGCTGTGGTTAGTAACGAAGCGGAAGGCATACGTAAAGTTGTCCTTGTGCTTAACTAAGCACTGCGCCATGAAGACGTATGAGGGAACTGATGTATAGATCCACGTATTCCTGACCTCGGGGCTAGTTGGAAGGGGGTGGTCAGCTTCACGCACTATCCGCTTTACCCCCCGTACCCATTGTATAGGTGGCTGAATGGGCCCAAAAACGGGTCTGGATGACGTGGAGAAAAGCCTTGCCCCGCCCGGGACTCGAACTTCGATCCCTCGGCCGTCCGAGCCGTAGTCAGTCGCTGTGCCTGATGAGCTGCTACCCGTGTTGGTAGGCACAGGGGTTATTTTCTGACGCTGTCAGTATCGCCCGTGGTCTTACCGAAGCACTGCAGGGACATGCAACGATGTAGATATGCGTTCTGCGCGCGTCACTGAATGCATCTCGAAAAACAAAGGGGATTTCTTGGTCAGGAGTGCAGTAGACATAGTCATCATGAAGCAGACAAGGCAGGAAGCCGCGGTGACGTTGCCGATGAACTGGGAAGTCCATAAATGTTAGAAATGGAACATGTGGCATGTTTGTTGCAGGCTGACCTGACTTGATCCTTCGAAATCAGAGAGAGAGAGAGAGAGAGAGAAATATAACAGTATGTGAAAAGAGAACCGTTAGGGAAATGAGAGGGAAGTTTATTTTGGGAGCAATAAATAGCACAATTTTGTAAAGAGGTCCTCCCTCTGATAAGGTCAGTGTGAAAGTGAAGACGTTATGGCGGTTAGAAGCAGTGGCTTGAGACAGGGACCTGAATGCCTGGCGACCTGCATAACTTGACAAGCTAATTTGATGTCCTTTACATCAGAGCACTTTCTGACGAACTGAAACCGTGAGAGGCGCGCGCTAGCAGTCCTGCAAACAAGAATGTGCTGCTGCGCTGTTGACAATCTGAACTGCACGCCAAGCATGACAATACATTGGGCAGTTTTAATTTGGATCACATATAAAAATTCGAACATGGGTCTACATGTCACAGTATCTTCATTCTCCCACAATCGGTTCCTTCCAAATCCTTTACAATTCATTAGACACCCTACTATTCAATGCTATACAGTCTAGCTAGTGACAGTTCATAGAGACAGCAATGTTAGGGGCAACGGGCACTGTGTTTGTTCGAGTTCCATGAGGGAACAGCACATTCCAGTCCTTATCTGAGCTGACTGACGTTTCGGAATGCATTTATGGCACCGAGCTTAGTGTCAAATTGCAAGTGCCTGAAAAAACGACCGGGAACTAATCAGTCAGCTTAGGTTATCAGATAGAAAGAAGAATTTCTTGATAATTGTGCAGGTCACGTGATGTCAGATCTAGGAGAATATGTTGGGCTGGGCATGCGGCTCAGTTGGGAGGCGAGCGCAATTTTCCGAAGGGGGCACACAGCTTTCCAAGTGGAGAGAGTAACCGGAAAATCCACCCGCAAACTTGGGTTTAAGCCGAAGAATTATATCTTCTTGGACGTAACGCCGTGTAGTCAGTTAAAAAATAAGCGACATTTCTGAGGAACATGCCTTCTGAAGGAGGGGGCAATATTTTCGACCGAAACAATGGTTACATTTCGACGGACATCACGGCTTTACATCCCAGAAGACAGAAGTTTTTATAACCACTTCAGATCCATTTTAGGCTTAAGCAGGCTTCTTCAGGAAGCTCTGGAGAACAGTTAAGTTAATGGTACAGAATTTTCATTTTTGTTTTAGTATTTGGTACATTTCCTTCTGTTTCCAATTTGATTCCCTGTTTCAAAAATCCTAGGAGTCAGGTGCCTGGCTCGGCAGGCGAGGAATTCGTACGCCATTTTGAAAGGGGGAGGGACCAAACTGTCAGCTGGAAATCCAACAAGGACATGGGCAGGATAGCATTAAGGTGAGTTTGACGTGGTCCACCCTGGTCCGTCACAGTAGCAATATTATCAAAGGTTATCACCTGCGTCCAGTTCCTTTCTATCCCTTTTATTCTTTCATCCGTGACACGTTTCGGTCTGAGAGACCATCTTCAGAAGGACAAACAGTAACCAGACGACACTCAAACCACGGAACCACTCAACTTCCTCTAAAGAGAGGCGATATAAAGCACACGAATCAAATTGGTTCTAGTTTTGTAAGTTTTTAAACCATACTTGTAAATATACTAATTATGATAATTTATAAATATTTTAATATATTCATGACATTGTGATGCTATTTTTGTATGTATTATTATTGCTTGGGGACTGAAGATGATATTTTTATTTGAAGGCGAAAGCTCTAGATCGCATCAAGTGGCGGAACTGTGGACCTGTCGTATGACAGATTACTCATGAATGTATGTATTGATATTGACCAATCACACTGTAATAGTGTTTTCCGCTTATATCGATATGTCCTCTCAGACTGAAACATGTCAAGGATGATCAGTCGCACTGGACGGGGCTGATAAGCTTTTATAATTAAAGTGGATCTTGGAGGCTGAGAAATAAGGGGAGGGGTTTGATAAGAGTTACGCGGTCTGAAGCCTCTCGCTTCTACCAGAAGGCCCTAGGACACAAGTAGGGGGTCTCCTCATGGCATTCTGCAGCTCCCTGGTTCGCATCTAATGCCAATTATCCCTACTATGGCTTCTCGTGGTTTTCCTTAGTCCCTACAGGATATTTACTTAAATTAGGACACAATCGCTTCTCTACTCGTGCTTTGCAACGTGTTATTCGGTATCATCGAATCACACAATGCGACCCACTGTGAGGTACAGCCAGCCCCGTGGGTTCGATTCCCGATGACGTGATTGGATTTTTGAGTTCACATAATCCTTGCAGCCGCACTATCGCCCTGAGGTCGACTCAGCCTCTAACAGAAATGTGTACCAGGAATCTTCCTGGAGGTAAACGGCGGCCGGCGCATAAGGCTTACAACCTCACCGCCAAATGTGAGCTGATTGTCTAGAAGATGTGGGAATGTCAACCCTATGGGCCTCCACGGCTTGTTACAGGGAGAGCTTTACTTTTTTCTTTTTCTACCTAAATATAAACTGTCACGAACATGAATCCAATGGAAGCCGCGCTCTTTCGTACGGACAGAGAGACAGACAGAAAGACATAATGAAGCTATAGGCAGGCTCTCTTCGCAGTTCTTACGAAGGCTTGGGAAACGGAAACCAGGGCACTGCATGTTTTACTGGTTGCATCCTGCCATTTTCTTAGTCTGTAATTTGTCACGTGCTCGTTTAGCGCGTTATATTCGCGGAAACTGCGACGGGAACTGTGGAGGCAGTCCAGCCGCGGCTCGTAACAAAGTGAGTAAAACCGATGACGGGACAGGAAGGCCAGTCGGCGCAGTGACTGGGGGGGGGGAGCTGCCCAAACAGTTTCCTAGTCTACAGATTCAAGTAAAGTTACTTATTTCAGGCTCCCACAACGGTTCGTTTTCTTGCGAGTCTGGAATAGAGGTACCGGGTCGTGAGCTGTACCTTCGCTCTGTCCGTCCGTCTTGACGACATACTGCCTAATTATCCCAGGAACAACATGTGTTCATGCTAGAGTGGCCTTAGTCAGCGAAGGTCTGCGCCGGATTCAGGTGGCCCAGAATACAATTTCGGGTCTCATAAACTAACTCGGTAGGGTGGTGTCCACCTTGATAAGCTAGTAGTCGCTCAGTTGCTCAAGAAATTGTCTGCCTTTTACAGAACCGGAAGTTTCAAACGCGTATTCTCAGTAGCCCGCAACTGGTCCTTATCCTGAGCCAGATGAATCCAGTCTGCACCCTCCCACCCTTGTTCTCTTGCTTCATTTTAAAAACGTGCTCCCAGTTGCGCTGAGAGAGGCAGCCGGGAGAGTACTGTATGGGTCTAAGGAAGAGGCAGAAGTGACAGGATCTACTGTGCTGTTGGAGTGGTCACGTCAAGGCGCGTGTAGCACTCGGCGGGAAGGAGTGTCGGTAAGAAGCACTGAAGAAACCAGCTGCAAGATTTACGCATAGAAATGATGAATGCAGACGAGGTTGAGATTGGTAACTAGATGCACTGGGCACTTACAGAGCGTAACTACAACCGCCTCGCTGAGTCACACGCTCCAAAGATCACTGTAACTGCAGCACTATAAAGTCCTCTCAGTCATCACTAGCCGTTGCTTTGTAGCGGCTGTCAACGCCAGACGTTTCCCTTTCTTCGGGATCCCGAACTGCCCCCTGCAGCAGCTACCAGATTGTCGCTTCTCACAACTGCAAATCTCAACTGACTGAACGACAAAACAAAGTCAAAGTTATGTTACGACCGACGGCCAGTCGGCCAGTCTGTCTTGGAATAAAGGACCCATCTCGGGCATAAGACAAGATCTGTATTACTGTCAGTCGTAGGTTTGTTGATGTGGTGCGCTCTCTCTCTGACGAGAGGACGGGTCTGTCGTTTACAACTGCTGCTGGTCCTCGCCAGCGCAGTCGTTCTCGAGTCCGAGTGCGGGACTCATGACCATATTTTACTATCTCAGATTCGAGACCCCCAACGACTCGCAGCGCTACGGAGGAGGTACTGGAACCCGCCTTCACGCGGACATATCAATTCAAAGTCGCTTTGCGACTGACAGTCAGTCTTGGTGTCGAGCCCCATTTGGGGCTCAAGAGCAGATATTAGTTTGTGGGGCGCCTTCTCTGAAGAAAGGACGGCTCTGTCTTTTGTTATACATGTTATTAAATGTATATAGATACAAAACAAAGCCCCTGTGAGTCCAGGCTCAGTACAGCACATCGTGCCCTATCATTACTAGCTCCTGCTACAACGGTAGTCTAGTCATCTGAACGGTCGTAAGCTTGACTGCCGCCAAGTTAGCCTCTTACATTTCCATGGTTTTGTATGACTTCTGCTTATTTCCTGCACAATGATATAATGTAATCATGTAAGTACGGAAGTTGGAAAGCCACATGAAAATCACGAACCTGTGCGCGCCTTAAGAAATGCCAGTTTTGCGGAGAGCCTTGTTTTGCAGGCGCTGCAATACAGCATATTGTTGCCTGCCACAAACTCCCAGGCGGGGCAAACATAAGTCATTTTACTCCTAATGAGAGCTTTGTGGAGGTTCAGTTTAATGTTAGCTCTCAGTCGCTCACTTTTGAATAGAGAATGCACTTCAATAAATGTTCTGAAGGCCTTGGCTTCGATCATTTCTCTGTGCAGTCTCCATGTAACTTTCTTATCGAAGATTATACCGAGATATTTTATATTGTTTACGACTGGAATATTTCGTCCATTTAATGTGAGACGAGACTCCGGCGGACACGAAATACTTATCCTCATTATATAGCCCCGGCACGGACCGCGCAGAAAACTTATCTTTCATAGTTGCGTGTTTTCTCGTTACCAGGGAAACTTGTTAACAGAGCCTTTCCCTAGCAACGGCTGCTGTTCTGTCGACTCTTTACAGAGCTATTATTTGGCAGTGGGTCTACATGTCACAATTCGGTAGGAACCAAAATCACCAAACCTTAGATTCCGTTAAACAGACAGGGGAATTTTCTTCCATAAGGTTGCCTATTCAAGGTATGACGTAATCACAGATATGTTTTAGACATATAACAGAGTTTCTGCCGTCTTTGTCTGTCTGTGCACAATCCAGTTATAAGTGGATTGTATTCATTCCTCTTTATTATCAGGCCTGCTTATCGGGATCTAGAGACACAATCAATTCATTACTTGGGAAAGCAACAATTGCAGCAATTGCAGTGTGGATTATGACGACAGAAACTGGCATACAGACACACTAACCGACTGACTCACTGAGTGACAGCAGGACAACTCGTGATGATCACGGTTTGTAGAACTTTTAGGGTTCATTTCCGTGATCAAAAAACTAGTCATTTCTACTGAGTCGTGGACCATTTGAAGTTAGTCCACATCTTCACATGCCATTTATCTGAACTCCACTTTAATATTATCAAATATATCTGAGGTCAGCCTCCTATCCAACGGGATTCGGGCCCTCTTTTCCCGGGGGTAAAGTGGCCGGGTCGTGAAGCTGACCATTCACCTACAACTAGTGCCGAGGTCAAGAAAATGTGGATCTATACATTCACTCCCCCATACGCCTTCATGGCGTAGTGCTTGTTAGTTAATCATAGGGAAAACTTTACCTTCTATTTAACCCTTTGAGGCCTGGAGATGTAGTTAATAATAGTAGAATAGTAGGTGAGGAAGGAAAGTCGTGGGAGGAGAGTCAGACTGCTCTGTCGGAAGGAAGACTATCATTTTGTTAGAAGGTTCATATGCTCCGCCCACTTGTCCTTCTGATAGTGCAGTATGAAAATGAAAGCGTTAGAACGGTTAGCGGAAGTGACTTGATACAAGGTCCGCGGAAATTTTGATTTCTTGAATTAATATCGAAAAACAAATTGGTGGCCATTACGGCAAAGGCGTTTAATTTTGATTAATTTGAATAGCGAGGGCTGCGTGAGAAGCACGGAGCAACAACTTCGCACCTGACGAGACGAAGACGAAGGAAACGCGAGAAAACCTCTGTCAAGGTGGCCGATTCCAAGGGTTTCCGGATACATATTGGCTTCGAGCCAGCAGTTGCCAAAATATCCCTGTTAACTTCGCCGTGACTTGTTTATACGTAAGAACTGAATAACTGATGATTTTCCTGAAATTTGATGTTGATCACTTTCATTAAAATCTGACAATACCGGGCACTTCACACGAAGTGCGCCCGTCTTGAGCATAACTCGCTAAAACTGTAGCGGAACGCAGTTCTTGAGAAGAAGAATATACACACAGTTTTGCTGTACGTCTTTCGGTTTTCGAAGTAATTAATCATAAATAAGTGAAGGCACATGGAGTGATATTTACGTATTTCTCTTGACCATATACGGTGGATATCAGAAATCAGCAGTCAGATGTTTAGTCCATTTTGTAGTCACTCGTTTATTTGGTGAGATAATGAATTAGCAGGATTTCAGTCTTTCAGTCAAGCAGATGACAATTGGACCGAATGCGTTTTCCTGTACCTGTGAATTTAACGGGAAAAAGAAGTTGTATTACTACTGTCATCTACTGGTAAAAGTATGAACTACGGTGGCGAACTGGCAGAACAGCCGGTGCTACAGATCTCTGCACAACGTACAACTTTTCGGTGTATAATTTTAATACTCTTTCGCTGTTGCAGTGTTTTATTCTGTTAAGTTCTTGCTTTGGTTTTGTGTATGTAAGTGAACCTCTTCCGTGTATATGCAGCAATGTTGTCCGAAGAAACAAGCCTACATGAATTGAAGCTCACAAGGAAGGGGTAGACCCTGTAGGTCCTTCAGTAATTGTGAACTGCAACAGAGGAGAAGTTTAAAGTTCGGAGAGCTAAATGTGAGTACCATGGGTTTTAAATTTGTAATGAAATATGATGACTTTGTTGCATCATTTGTATTTAATATAGCTTTTTATTGCAAGTAAATCATTCAGTGATTACATCAAATGAACTTAAATATTGATTTGTTGGTCTTAAAATAATCTATAATAATTTTTAATATTTGGTATAATCTTATGTGCATAAATGCATACACATTTAAGGGATTATTAGGGCATAAAAATTCGGTCCCAATCATCACTCAATTCCATATCCACGCCACCCGCCAAGATGTCCCACTACTGACTGTGCTGTTGGGTGTGCTCTTCGGAGTGCCCTCGCCGTCGGCTGTCGCTGGGCTGTCACCCTCGCCGTTAGCTGTGCTTTCACCGTGGACAGTCGCTGAGTTATCACCCTCGACGTTGGATGTGCTGTCGCCCTCGCCATCGCTGGTCAGTGGGCTTTCGCTGTCGTTCGCTGGACTGTCGTCGTCAGCTGTCGCTGGACTGTCGTTGACGGCGGTCAATGGGCTGTCGCCGTCGGCGTTCGCTGGGCTGTCGCCCTCGCCGTTGGCTGTGCTTTCACCGTGGACAGTCGCTGAGTTATCACCCTCGACGTTGGATGTGCTGTCGCCCTCGCCATCGCTGGTCAGTGGGCTTTCGCTGTCGTTCGCTGGACTGTCGTCGTCAGCTGTCGCTGGACTGTCGTTGACGGCGGTCAATGGGCTGTCGCCGTCGGCGTTCGCTGGGCTGTCACCCTCGCCGTCGGCTGTCGCTGGGCTGTTACCCTCGCCGTCGGCTGTCGCTGGGCTGTCACCCTCGCCCGTAGCTGTGTTCCCGCCGTCGTCGGTCGCTGGGCTGTCGCCCTCGCCGTTAGCTNGTGCTTTCACCGTGGACAGTCGCTGATCTGTGGCCCTCTCCGTTGGCTGTGCTTTCGCCCTCGCCATCGCCGGTCACTGGGCTTTCACTGTCGTTCGATGAGCTCTCGTCGTCAGCTGTCGCTGGACTGTCGTTGACGGCGGTCACTGGGCTGTTGCCGTCGGCGTTCGCTCTGCTGTCACCCTCGCCCTTGGCCATGTTCCCTCCGTCGTCTGTCGCTGCTGTGTCACACTCGCCGCTTGCTGCGCTTTCGCCATGGACAGTCGCTGAGATATCACCCTCGACGTTTGCTCTCTTCTGTAATCAGAGAATTAATATTCATTGTGAGTTTTATTCGGTTTGAATAACTAAACACAGCAAACTGCTTCGCACACGCAATGTATTATGAAGAATAACATCTTATGCTAGGCAACGGCTTGTTGAACACTGCCTAAACACCGGAATGATAACAAATACGAATATAACCCATTTCTAGACAACTAATGGTTAAGACAAATTCCGCGTCAACGAACCCGCTTGGAGGGATCAAAGCGTTGCCACGAATTAACACAAGACTTCGACACAGCGGATTCATGAGAAACAGTAACTGAGCCCTTGAACGTGGTGACTTAGGTGGACAGCGTAGTAGTTACAAAAGTCAATGGATTCGTGGGACAGACGTCGTTCAAGGCATTCAGAAAGTAATTCAGAAGGCAGTTCAATGTTTGATCTGTTAAGCAAATAAGACTATTCACCAAACAACGACTACCATGCAGACGTTGAAGGCTTTGTTTTGTGTGTTATAGTCACAGTAATCTCTACAGCGTTGTAATAATTTTAGTTGCGACTTGTGAATGTCCAGTAAATTTATTCATCGACTCCAGAAGGCTTTATTAGTATTCACGGCAGTCAGGAATACGTGACGCTCAGGTTTTAGTTTTCTCTAAGCTGAGGTTGCTGAGATAAATGTAACTGAATTTTATGTAAATTATGTTCTTATGATAGACAGTACTTACAGCTCTAAGACTTGTAATGATATCCTGCATTTTCCTGGTTTGTCTCTTTACCCTCCTCATGTAATTCTTCTGAGATACAGCGTCTTGCATGCTGGGGGGCTCGAACTCCTCATCAACTTGTTCCCCTCGCTCCTGAGGACATTAAATCCAGCCACAGGATAAGCTCGTGTTCAGAGATAAAATGATGAAAAAAAAAGAAGAATATCTCTCAATAAAGACAGGCAGAGTAAGTTATGAAACAAACCAGTGCTTCTGTAAGAAACAACAGAAGATGTAAACAAAATAGCGTAAGGTATTTCAGTTAATTATAAGACTTGAATGTTAATGTGCATTCCAAACTTGACTTCACCACTTTACAAGAATCAGGAGAAGTCATTATAACCTCGTATTTTGCTCCAGACAGAATATTACCGTTCTTACATGCCGTAGACCTACTTACTTCTGTCAGGTTTTTAAGAATCCTCCTCACTCTCCTGTTTTCCTGTTCAAGTTTCTTCATCTGTTTGTCAATCTTTGGTACTTCCAGTTCCGTTTGTACCTGAAACCATCGCAGCCAATCAGAAAGTGGCCATGTTTGCAGACAGAGACATTAAAGAGAAAGGAAGCAGGAAATGGCACACAGACGGCACATGCCGTCGCTTGAAGCATTTTTTGCCAAATTACTCTCCTCAGATTCTGTTTTCAGTGTTCGCAGGATGGTAACTGCGCCCATTATATACACAAGTTTAGCTATCGCTGTATGGTAACATGTGGTCAAACCTTGCAGCAGAACTTTAAGATTTACTGAGAAAACAGTTTTGATAAACGGTGCTATGTCTGGCAACACGCGTATGTAGGTGCATTCACCCGAAATTATGGTACTGTTCGAGATATCGATTGTTGGTTACTACAACATGGAGAATGCATAAATTTGTGAGATATGGCGTGTATTAATATTTTTGGAAACCCACGCAACTGATTGAGGTAATATTTCTGTAAGATGCAGAGCATCAACCTGCTAGACGTATAATTTTCTTCTGCTCTCATTCTGACGGAGATAAAAAAATGAATTTGAGCCGTGCATGAAGCCAGATAACAGACATGTATACGAGTATACAGGTTATGAAACACTGTTTGCGTACCAACGTTTACAGTAATAGCGACAGTGCAAATCTTAAAATGCTGTATCCTTCAAGTATTACGTAAATGGACCCTGTTCCTGATTAATTGGAAATTTCTCAGAGTCAGTAATGAGACGATGAAGTTGATAACATAGGTGACCCACTTAAAGAGTATTAAGATCCGCGCGCTGTCTGATCACGTGACCACTGACAAACAAAGGCCAGCACACTGGCCCACAAGCTAAATTACAATATGTTGTTACACTCTTAAAATGTTTTCTTCTGCTTTCTCCACAGCATTGCGGAAGAAGCTTCCTTGCCTGTTGCAATTCGAAATGAAGGTTTCTGAACTTGCGACATCGAAGTTTAGTAGGGGGGGGGGCTGTTCGGCCAATCTCAAAGTTGTCCCAACCCAGAACAACACAAGCACGAATAAAACGCGATGAAATACCATCCCTTCTGGGCTACGAACGAACAAACCCTTACTGCATTGTTTGAAACGTAACGCGGCTTAGGCTACACGGTGGCTGAGATCAGCCTGCATTGCCTAAACAGAAATATAAAGATACGGGCACGGGAGAGGAGGAGGTGGAGAAGTTTGCAGTAGGAAAGCTGTGTGTGAGGTTTGCACGGAACTCGTGCACTTCTCCAGGAGCGACTCAATGCATTTCCCTTCATCAGAACATTACATGCTCACAGCCAGCTTTCCTGTTAACCTCCCAGCTACAAGCGCACTCACAGTGCATGGTGCAGTGGCTTACCTGCTCTGCACTTGCGTTCAAGGGCCCTTCTTCTGTTGCTGACGGCTCCATTTCTTTCAGTTGAGGAGCCTGTAAACTCAGTGTCTGTGCGTTTCCGTCTCCCTCAGACACTGAGTTTTGTGCTCCCTCCTGGTTTCCCGCTGCACTCTTCAGGCCCAGCTCCACAGCGTCCACACGGTTCAGCATTGAGCGGTGCGCTGTGTGGCTGCCTTCGCTCCTGTAGACACAAAGCGAAGTGCATCACACAAATAGTACATGTAGATGTGTATTTAGTTGGTAGTGTCTCTTCCTGCTCTAAACTGAGTCGTAACACCCAGGCATACAGAACAGGTGGGAGTCAGTTTGGGAGGCCCTAGTTTCGAATCTCTGTCGGGATATTGGTTGTCCAGCCTGTGGGGTTTCGTTGTTCTCCTTAGTCCCTCTATCAACATTCCTGAAATAGGCCTGCACTACTTCATTCCAGATGCTTCCAATCCTTCAGTCACACTACAGTCTGCATGCTGAAGTAGCATCGGTAGATAACAAACGGATGCGCGGTCTGATGAGCAGTCACACTTTGTTACTGGAGCGGTACGCACCACTATAATCTAACTGTACTGAGACGCACATCGGCAAATGCAACAGCGTTACTGCTGAAAGATATGGAAAGATGTAGCTCTCGCGTCTAATTCAATGTACGAGGCGATTTGTATCGATGAACTGGCAGACATGAACAAGGAGAGGGTGTGCACCCACTAGTGGCTAAATACTCGGGGAAGATTCTATATCTCATACACGTACGTGATAAAAACGGAGATGGAGTTCATGATTGCTGTACTTATGCAGATTCGTCGTGCTGACTCTTATTGGATGAAGCCAGAGGGTGGCTTTGATCTAATTGGCTGTACACGTACTGCCTAGACAGTCTGGTGGTCTTAGTCAGCTAACCTACGCAAACTTCAGTCTTAAAACGAAGGAGAAATATTAGAGTAGCTTATCTCATTCCTGACAAATAAGCCAACGAATCTGTACCCGTATTTTAGTGTATGAAGCATATGCATGTAACTTTGTAGCTGACATGAAACTTGTGAAGTGTTCTCCTCCGTCATATATTGTACGCAGTGCCAGTTCAGTGCATGCGAGCAGCCAAGTGCCACATGGATTTAAACCCGAGTTAGGTACCAGAGGTATACATACCTGACGCTGACGCAGTCCAGTTCGCTGTTGGCTATGCTGTCGCCGTCAGTGGTGGCTGGGCTCTCGCCCTTGCAGTTGGGTGTGTTGTCGCCGTCAGTGGTGGCTGGGCTCTCGCCCTTGCAGTTGGGTGTGTTGTCGCCACCGCCGGTCGCTGAGCTGTTAGGGTCTATTTCGCTGTTTCGAGTCACCTGGAAACAAATATCAAAGTGGGTTCAGGAACGGGTAGCTAAGAGGCTCGTTAGCTGTTTCAATTGCATGGTTCAAGAATAGTTGGTGGCATCAAAGAATTAATATTCGTTGTGAGTTTTTTTTTCGGTGTGAATAACTAAACACAGCAAACTGCTTCACACACGCAATGTATTATGAAGAATAAGATCTTATGCTAGGAAACGGCTTGTTGAACACTGCCTAAACACCGGAATGATAAGATGAAACGAATATAACCCATTTCTCGACAACTAATAGTTAAGGCAAATTCCCCGTCAAAGAACCATCTTGGAGGGATCAAAGCGTTGCCACGAATTAACACAAGACTCCGACACAACGGATTCATGAAACACAGTGATTGAGCCCTTGAACATGGTGACTTTTAGGATAACCGCGTAGTATTTATAAAAGTCAGTGATTCCATGGGACAGACTTCGTTCAAGGAATTCAGGAAGTAATTCATAAGAAAATTCAGATGGCAATTCTATAGTTGAAGATAAGTTTCGCTACCAAGCAACGACGACTATGCAAACGTTGAATACTTTATTTTATGTGTTGTATTTCCAGTGATCTATAGTGTTATAATTGCCGGTCACGGTAGCCGAGCAGTCTAAGGCATGTACTGTCTTCGCTCGATTGGAAACCGGGATCGTGGGTTCGAATTCCAGTCAGGGTATGGATGTTTAGTTTGTGTGTGTGCGTTTTTCTGTGTTTGTGTACAGGTAGAGGCCTTGCGACAAGCTGATCACCCGCCCAAGGAGTCCTACCGAATGTGTAAGATGTAGAAAAACCGAAGTGAACGGAGAAGTTCATGGAGGTGGGCCTAGGCCCACTGGGGCTATAGTGCCAAGGAAAAGTAACTGTTATACTTATTTGTAGTTACTTCTTGTGAGTGTCCATAATTCTATTCATCTTATCCAGAATCCATTCTTTTTATTCACACCAATCAGGAATATGTGACAGAACGTATTTGTGTGTGTATGTGTGTCCCCGTGCCAAGATGGAACGGTGTTCCATTCACGAGTACATAAGAATACGCCATTAGTCATTACGCTCAGATAAATAAAACCCACAAGCTCACACAATAATTATGAGTGCTAATATTGCTATGCGATATGCAGTATATCGCGGTAATCAGGAAGGTCTCTCGCGTTCAAGCCTTACACGTGTATGATGACTTCAAGGAGTGCTACAAGACTGTTATCTTATCAAATTCGTATTAGATGTAATAATTTATTTTTCTTTTGTTTCTAATTATTTCATGAATTTCATATAATGTTGTGGCGTATTGAGTGGTCGCAAACGATGACTCTAAAACAGCTGCATTTGCTCGGTAACGGCCAAATTATACACGCACGCAACGACAGAAAAGCTAAGTTTTCTTAGTTGTCAGAAGCGGGATGTTACATAAGGACTCTGACAGAAGGACTTCAGTTAAAGGAATTGTGGTCCTGATCGGCGGTAAGCCGCCGGCGTTAATTTCACTTTGACTTTGAATTTTGCTCTCATAAATCATGGCCATGAGTCCCATGGGACTCGAAACCAAGTTTCATTGTGCTGTTGAGGGCCAGCAACAGTTTATCAGCCAGCTAAGTTCAGTTGTGAGACAGTGGCCGGTCTGGAATGACGAGAGCATGGAAGCTGAAAACTCGCCACTGTTAGAAGCCATTATCTGGAAACGACGAGTGCAGGCACTACGGTTTGGAATACAGATAGCGTGGATCCTAGTGATGTTTAAATTTTGGAGATTAGCGATGGCGCTACAATCAAGTATAGTCACGGGTCGTGTCTTAAAATGGTCAATAAACGAGTCACCAAAACCGATTTCCTTCTATGGTCACTCATAGACGTGACTGTTTCTACAACACATCTAATTTGACAGTTTGCCAGAAGCACATTTTGTTCATTCAGCAAGATAATCTGCTTTTTTAATTTAAGTATGAACAGGTCTGAAATTTGCTTACCTTCTCGCGTACCCATCTTCTTATCCACTCGAAGCAGCCGCAGGTGGACCAGTCTCGGGAGTGATTCGTGCCTTCTCCCGTCACTTCTGGGTGTCTCAGGTCATAAAAATCTTCGTCGATGTCCGGATCGTTCTGGAAAGGACAAAGAATTTGATCCAGCTACAGTTTATATTTTAGTCTGCAAGGCTGCTTGTGAATTCTATAAAATTCTTACTTCCAAAATTTTTCAGTCAACATGATAATCTGCCGTTTTAATTTCTGTATGAACATTCTGAAATCTGCTTACTGTGAGGCACAAGCATCTTCGGACCCAACCAAAGCAGCCGCTGCTTGTCGAGTCTCGGGAAAATGTTGCGCTCTCTCGTAGTTCGTCATAAGGAACGCCGTAGTAATGTTCCGTTTCGGCGGGAAAATAAGGATGGATTCTCCCCGCCCCTCTCCATATCGAAACCAGGAAGAGGTATGTTGCCAGACATTTCTTGGTTCGTTCACGTTGTTATGTATTAGCTATCTGAAATCAGGACATTAATTCGTTGAAATCTAATAACTTAAAAA